CTTCCTTGCGGTCAGTCAGGCTTAAGACCTGGATTTAGCTGTACTACTACGTTATTGAAAGTTACAGATGACATTTTCCATGCTACTGATAAAAAATTATTGACTGTATTAATACATCTCGATTATAGCAAAGCCTTCAAACGCATTAATCATTCCCTCACTTCTTAACCACTAAGGATTTTCCCACTCATCTGTAGTTCTATTAGAAAGTTATTTGAACAAAAGAAGCCAAGCTGTTTCTTATAACAATAAAACTTCAAATTTTCTAAAAATCAACTCCGGCGTACCGCAAGGTTCTATCCTAGGAACACTTCTATTTGTCCTATATACCTCCAAATTTTCTTTATCTATTAAATCTTGTAGTATCGTATCCTATGCAGATGATACGCAACTTTACTACTATTTCCCTCTTACATCAAGGAAGCATGCTCTAAAATCAATAATGATTTATTAGCACTTAAGAGCTTATCAGAAAAATATTGTTTTGACATTAATCCATCATAGTCTAAAGTACAGCTATTTGGGCGTGTACCAGTAAGGTCAATATATCATTAGAAGGTGAGCAACTACCCCTAGTTTCTTGCGCTAGAAATTTAGGTTTAGACATAGATGATATACCTATATTTTCAAACCATATTTCCAATATATCCAAGAAAGCTTACTGCAGTTTCAAACTTCTCTTTAAACTTCTCTATTCTAGTAGAAGCTAATTAAATAAAAAAACCAAAATAGTCCTATGTGACTCACTAGTTCTATCCCATGTTAACTATACCGATGAGATATATGGACCTTGCCTTACAAAGGATACAAAATGCCTGTTTTCGATTTATTTGTGGTCTCAGGCATCCTGATCATATTACAAACCACTTAAGAAATCTTGGGTGGCTTAATTTAAAGGAAAAACAATATTGGCATTGCAATATACTTTTCTATAAAATATTAAAAACACAGAGTCCTACCTATCTTTACCATAAAATCACCTTTCGCACAGATGTTCACAACATAAACATTGGATTTAAATTTAAGCTAACCCCTCCAAGTCACAGGACTAAATTATTCCAGTCTTCTTAAGGTACCATTTTGGTAGGCGCGTAAGGAGACAGGAGACCACCGAGACGACCCTAAGGACGACAGATGCATAAATGTTACGCTCCGTACATTTCGGAAACTTGGAGATGGGTCGCGAGACACTTACAGGGTAACCATTCGAGGAAACGATCAGCGTTGCCAGACCTACTGTTTTTACGTAGATCCAGTGTTTTTATCTCTAGCAAATGTTGTTCTTAATTTATTAAGTTTGCACCAATCTTCAGCAAATGGTTAAAGAATATTTTCTCTAGTAAATTTTCTGCAGTAAAAGCAGCGTAATGAGGCATAAAAAAAACATCAAGATAATCATTGTTTTTATTTAAAATGAAACAAAGAATTAATAGGGCATCATAAAAAGAACATGCATATGCCAAACACTACGATTTTGAATTACCTGATTTAGACTGATCTAAAAGAAGTAGGTACCTATTATTTTTCATTGTTTTTTTTTGTTTCCGTGCGTTAAGTATATATTAAAAATGTTATTATTTATTTTTATTCTTTGTTTACCTTCTAATTTGGGCAGAAAAAAAGTTTATTTTTCGTTTCTTATATACTTGTTTTTTATTTACTACACTGCAAATTATAATTATTTCCCCCTGTATTAAAATCTACTGTTCAGATCTACGTTTTTTTTTCACCCATGCTGTTCCAAAATCTGGCAACACTGCCTAGATCGAAAGAAATTTCCAGTAATCACCTTCAAAAAGAAGCGATGCCTGAGGACAGTGACCTCAAGTACGATACGTAGCAAACGCTTTGCCCCGAGACAGATTCAGAAGTGTCGTCAAGAAGTGTCGTCTTGACGACACTTCTCGTGTCGCGCCGTGCGAAATGTGTTTCATCTAATTGTATGTATTTTAGACGTGGAGAGACACTTCTCGATCGCGTCGGCGGTCGTCTGTCGCGCCTACTGAAATGGTACCTTTACTGTTATCAAATTACACGACTATTAAATAAATTACCGCATGCGCTTCTTAAATATACATTCAATCGTTTTAAAATTACTCTAAAGAAATATATTCTGAATGGAACATTAAGTATAAGTATTTAACTGATATTAACCTTGGCTGCCCTTTTTATATTATGTTTATTTACATTTTCATTATTTGATATTTTCTAAATAGAGCATGTTTGTATTTTTTTTACCTATTTTTAATTAAATCCTTTATTTGCATGATGGTATTCTTCAATTTTTATTATTGTTACTTTATTGTTTTCAAGATATAGATTTATATTTTATATTAATCAGAGAACTTGTTATTATTTTTTTATGTTAGGGTTGAGTGAAAGAGCAACTTTTAACTTCGTAGAAGTTAAAATATGAGAATATATTATCTTTTACTTTTTACTTGTATGTACTGTTATGATTCGTCCATTTAGTTTCCAATGTTGTCATTCTTTCTTCTGTATTTTGTTCATTTATTCTAATTTGTTTTACTTCTTTTCTCATATTGTTAATCCTCTTCTCTTGTACATTTTCTATCTCTGTTATTCTTCCAATTATTTCTGCTCTTATTTCAATCTTTGTCCCTTGAATTTTATTTTCCATTTATATTTTTGATTCTTCTATTTGTCTTTCAAAAATTTATAATTTTGCTTTTATTTTCTTACTGTTTTCATCTATTTTATGCATTATCTGTTCTTCATTTTCTTTCTTTCTCTTTTGTCTTCTTCTCTATTTTTCTACAATTTATTTCCCATACTAATTATCATCTCCATTAGCTTTTTCATGGCATCTTCTTCTACATCTTGTTCTTCAATATTCTTTTCTAACCCATTATCTTCTTCTATTTTATCTTTTTCTTGTTTAATATTGCTCTCTCCATCTATATTGTCATTTTCTTCTATTCCTCTTTGATCTAATTCTTGTACTTCATTTTCTTGTGCTTCACCTTGTCCAACTTTTTTCAGCTCTTCCCCATCTCTTCTACTTATCCTTTTTCCTCCTCTTAAATCCATTTTATTTTATTTTATTATATTTAACAGTATTTTTAATTATTATATTATTTGTACACAATTATTGCACTCAATTTTAATTTATTTTTCCACTTTTTACTATTATTTTAACACAACTAAATATACTTATTTTACAACTTTTGTTTTAACACTTGTGTTAGTTTGACAGATTTCACGCCTTGTTGTCAGTTTGACAGTTTACTGTCCCACGTTGGGCGCCATTTGTTATGAAGTGATAGCAAAAATCATAACAGTACATATTGTAAAGATGCCAATAAAATCATTTATTATTATTAGTAATATGTTAAACTTCCTAATTTTAGCAATATTACAAAAAAATTTTGCTCTATAAAGCTCTAAACACAAATCTAGTCATTTCAATTCTCAAATACTTAATTTTTTAACGATTTAGTAAGGTTATGTTATATCTTAAGTCATACAGTGCAGCAATTTAAAACTATTATACAACAAACCATGGTGAACTTGTTTTGTAGGAATAACTGATAGAGCTTAATTATTGTATCACAGTTGATTTTATTACAATAATATTTTATAAATATGATTCTGTCTTAAAATAACTACCTAATACTTTTGAATAGTCGCCATATTTAACAAAAATCTAAGACAGTTCTAAAGCTAAATCTACTGTCGAGTTTACTAGTTTATAAGACACAACCAAGGTTAATTAAAGATTTTTTTATCCCTAGTAATATTAAATCGAATTGCATAAATTTAATTTTTGTTTCCTACTGAAAAAATATTAGAAATGTGAATCAAACTCGAGGCGCTTAAAAATTTAGTATTGTATATGCTATATAATTAACAGCAAATTGTTACTTCGGATTGCATTTACTTCAAGAACAACTTTCTCTGTGTTTCTCGAGTGCCATTAGCGCTTCCAAATATTTCTTTGCTATTTATTTTCAGAAGCTTGTTTAAACCGTAACGAATGCGATTTTTTGTTACTTTTTTACAAATTCGCTTGATTTGGTAACGGAAGAAGATAGCAAATTTTTTTCTTAAAAAAAAATTATTCAAAGAAAATAATTCTTTTTAAATATGCAAAAATATGGATATAGAGTTTAAAAATTAAAAAAAAAGCAAATTCAGTTTCAAACAGACCTTAGTTCCCATTTAAGAACTTTTTTCACATTTTTCTTGTCCTTATAATTGACCTGAGATATTTTTGTTAGGCTAAGAAATTGCCTCCTTCAATATTGACACAACTTTTAGGAGCACCCTGTATATTTGTCAATTTATAAAATCTTTACTAAAATTAACGTGACTTCTGGAATTTTTCATCTTCATCTGAACCTACCTGAGTACTTTAAACGTAGTTTTAAGAGTTAGTGGCTGCCTCGGATGTAGATAGATAATTTCAGAGAACAAAAAACGGGTTAATAGTTATTTATGCAACAAGTGCAAAAAGTGTTTATTGCACGCGACGTGAAATTGTCAAGTGCAATAAACACTTTGCACGAGTTGCATACAATATTTTTTTCTACGTTCATGCAAAAACCAAAGAATGTTTTATAGAACTGCAGTTGTAATATCCAAATCATAATAGCCGTGATCGTGTACTTTTGTTTGAGGCATTTATTTACGTTTGTGTTCATAATTCGTAATGACATTTTTAATAAAATACATTTTTTTATTAATTTATTTAATAAATGATTGAAAATAATATAAAATATGCAATTGTTTTTAAAACGTAACACAGAAAATGAAAATGGACTAAATATTTGGCATTGATTTGAATATTTTATGTTTGTCATGATCATAAAATGCTGTAGTAAAATGACAGATGAGTGCAATAAAGAACCAGTTTTTTTCACTAAATATAGTTCAATAAAGTTTTATTTTTTGCATGAAAGTAGAAAAACGTAATTTTGTTACTTAAGATTTATAAAACCGTTTAATCTAATCAAAATAAAACCTAATTTCGACTGTAGATTATAATGAAAAGAACGAAGAACTCAACCTCAAAGGAATTTACAATACCAGGCAAGAGATGGGAGCTAATTTCAGAACTGGAGCGCTACAAACATTTGGACAAGGTGGTGGTGGCGTGGGACCTAATGGTCTTACCAAAAAGCAAGAACTCATGGTTAGATCAGCTATTAAATATTGGGTTGAGAGGCATAAGCATGTAGTCAGGTAACTAAAACAATTCATCAGTTGATTACGCCCCGTCCAGCTTCAGTTGGCCCACCCAATTAAATATCAGTTATTGCGTGTCGAATATCATTTGAGCTGAAAAATTTTACTTTTACTTTAAAATTGGTATTTTAAGAACATATTCCATAAAAAAATAGAGTTTAAAATAGTTGGAAATGATTAGGACTAGAACTAAAAAAAAACAAAATTGATGAGTAATTTTTTATAACTGCTCCAATTTTTCTTAGCAAAGTATTTATTAGATTCTGACACTTCCTTGAAGTGAAATAATGAGCGAAAGATCCCAACTAGAAGAAACCTTTTTTAGAATCAATAACGATTTTTCTTTAGCCCTCACAATAGAAAAAGTAATTAGAACTTGCCTTTTTGAAAACTTACCTTGTAGGTACCAAATCCTAGTTTTCTGGCTTCTACATAATATGTAGGCCTGCAAACATTACTTCAATGTACACTCAACACCTATTACACTTGAAGAGCCCAAAGCAAAAACGATTTTAAAAGTTAATTCTCTGTAAATTGAGTTTTAGGTTTTGGAAGTCATTTTATGCAACAGTTATTGGGCAATATTATGCAAAGAAAGTCATCACTATAAGTCTTTCAATTTTTAATTTAAACAAAAAAAAAACTATTTCAAAATACAAAGAATACAACACAAAAACGTTGGTTTTCATAAAAAACTTATTAAAATCGATCATAGTCAACTAAACAATATTCTATGCTTTATTAAAATGCTTTTTCAAAATATACTAAACAACCTAACCTATATAATACTTTTATTTCTGTTTTCGCTTTTTAACTACTGCTTTTCTACGATATCCAACAATTTTCTTTTACTTGTTCTTCTTTCTCTTCTTTCTTAGAGTATGTTTATATCACATTATGCAACACATTTTCTGTTTTTTTATTCACTTTTCTTGTAAATTTGTGCGGTAGATTGCCATCAGTTTCACAAAACGTTTTTAATTGCCGTAAGTTTTCCCATTTTTCCAAATTTATTGGTATCGGCTCTAAAAAATAAAACCACAATGATACAAAAATCTAAAGATTTAATCTAGTAACTCCTTACCTATATACTTCTCATTAGGTAGAAAAAATTCACTAGATTAGGCTAAACATTTATTCCATTGGCTAAATAAGCTCTGGTCGAGATCAAAAACTTTAAATGGAGTTGGCTTAGCTGTTGCTCCTCTAATTTTATTAATCCAGTCAGCAGTAGTCTCAGCTTTAGTACTCTGGTTTATGAGGCCCATATTCTTATCGCATTCAAGATAAGAATGCCCCCTTCAGGAAAGGTAATTTTTATCCTGTCAAGTCTTCTAGTAGTTACAACAACGTAATGGATATATCGAAAAATATTATAATTTTTGTTTGCAATGTTTGCATGAATTGCAAAATATTTCGAGCTCTCTTACTCTTTTATCTAATTGAGTAATTTTAAAGTTGTGAAGCATAGAAATCACTTCCTCTGATCCTTTATCAGCAACATTTTCTGAGTAGCAATAGAAGTGCAAATCTAATGTAGAAAGAACATGAATATTATTAAATAAAATGAAAGCTGACGTTAATATAATATACATCATTAGTGGAAATATTCGGTAGTGACAAAATTTCTTTGGAAATGCGTAGCAATGCTTTTATACTCTGTAACTTTCATGCTTCTTTTTCTTGCTGCTGTCTTTCTTTCGTAAAAAACATCAGCCTTCTTTAGGTGTAACTCATTCTGAATTTCCAAATCTCTTAATTGTTACATTAGTTCTTGTGTGCCTTCTGTGGTTGGGGTATTTTCAATTTTCCTTTGTAAGCTGCATGTGTCGCTTCGAGGTTATCCAAATTTAATATTCAAATTATTATTAAATATTTTGCGATAATATTCATACGAGACAGATCCAAGATTCAAATCTCTGTACATTTTGTACATCTTTTTTATTAGATTAAGACTCTCCGGTAGATAAACCACAGCAGTCTTTTTACGGCTATAATGACTTTGTCTCCCTTTAAAACAACTTATGTGATTTTTAACAGCCTCCAAAGTAGCAGGAGGTTTAGTAAAATGAATGTATGAATATTTTCTTCTCTTGTCTTTTGGAGACATGCCCCATTTTTTTAGAGACTCCTGAATCGTTTGTAACCGCCTTCCAGAAATTCCATGCAACAAAAGAAATGCCTTTCGATAAATTAAAAGCTCAATAATATTATTTTCTCTCATAGTTCTTATTTTATAAGAATATGCCCTGTCATGAAATCTAGCCAATTCTGTATTTTGTCTTGGGTGACGTGTTTTAATTGATAACACACTTATCAAACCTGTTAAATACGAACTTTGTTCGTCTGTAGAAAACATTTCATTAAATTCTTTAATAATTTGTTTAGGTTCAAGAAAATCTAATTTTTCAAACCATTTATACCTTGTGCATCTAGAGTCTTCGCCCTGCTCGTGGGAACACGTCTACTTCTCGTCCAAAAGATTTTCTTTTTTTAGATCCTATATTTAATTTTTCAATTATATCCGAGTCACTACTAATATTTTCTTAATTATTTAGTCCTTGTGTACTCATTTTAACAGTAGAAACTACACAATTCAACAATTGTTCTGTTGTTTGACTTTATAAAACACTAGAATGTAAACAATGACAAAAATAATTTGCCCTATTGCACAAGTAACACGCTCCTCGCACATATTGACCATTAACTTAAACCATTTTTGCTGTATTTACCCGTGACATTCATCGTTTTAGCTGTGTGCTCTTCACTTAATAATTCTGGATAAAACTTGTCTATAATTTTCTGTTAATTTGGACTTCTTTACATATCGGGTCTTTTGGGCACCGGAACTGTGCGACTGGGTAAGCCGACTAATATTCCAGTTTGATTTTCCATATTTCTGAAAATTAATGTTAATTGATCCAATTCTTTCATTATAAAAAGCCACCTCAATCCACGTCGTTAACAGTAATTAGGTAATGAAATGCAAGGAAACTACTTTTTCGTTATTTTCTATTTGTTATAATGCATTACCCAAATAACAATTATACATTCTTAGCATACTCTCAGTATATGCTTTTTAAGAATGTGCATATGCTGAGAATATACTTTATTTCAATTTGAAACATTCTCAGAATATACCAAGAATATGCTATGTGACCTTGTTTATACCTGCTATGCAGATGCTGAGAATGTACTCAAGTATGTGTACAGTATGCAATAGGTATCTACTTTAATTTAATAGTACGTTCTAAGTATATGCTTAGTATTTAAATATAGCATATACTAGGCATATACTAAACACCCTAATACAGGATGTTTCATTAATATTGAACAATAAAGAATAAGTGTATATAATGAAATCTTTATTTCAAAAAAATCATACTTATTCTTATTTTTAATACAAATTCTTCATTTGGCCTTAACTAACCAATAATTCATTGTATCAATGGCTTGAATTTCATTTGCTTGATTCCATTGGATCTTCATTGAACCTAAAAAATTTAAAAAATCAACAAACTTGGTACATATTATACAAATTAACTATACATAGCTAATCGAATATTTTAAAAATTTTTGTCGAACGTGAAACATTAAAATTGTACATGGCATTTCACTAACAAAAACAAGAGTTACATAAATGATTATTATGTTTAGTGAAAGTTTAAATATATTTTTGTTAATTACTTACCACCATTTTGTAGTTTTCCTCCTCCTTTAGCTTATTTTCTAGTTCTTCCAGCTAAGGTCAATTTCTGGCCTACAGGATTTTTTTCATAGAAAGTGTGTATGTAATTCTGGTAACACTAAATTTTAGTTTTAATCCACCATTAGTATTAACCATATTAATAAATTCACACTGGCAATTAATATTTGGGATATCCTGTGTTCTAACATCACTTATAGGTCCTAAAAACTACAAATATAGTAAAATTTGTTTATTTTTATATAGAACACACGATGCAATTAATTTTTACTAATTTACTTACTGAAACGAGATCAAAGAAATAGGAATTGAAGGTTATGTTATTCTTCTTCTTCTTCTTCTTCTTATCTCTTATTAAGGTTGTTTTTGGCCTAAACATTAGTGCGTTTGCTAGTCAATTAATGGATCGGTATCTGGGAAAAATTCATACAGATATGTATATAAACGTTTTTTTGACATGTATTTGGTGTTAGTTTTTACCTGCAAGCATTTAGAACATTCTCAGAATATGAGGTACATGCTGGGTATATGACTTTTAGTATCTTCTTAGAATGTCCTGTTATAGCACGTGCTCAGTATATACTTTTTGAAATGTACTTTTAAGGCACGTGCTCAGCATATACTTTCTAGAATATACTTTCAAAGTATATACTAGGTATGTTCTAAGAACATACTAAAAAGAACATAAACAGAACGTTCTTAGTATATTCATAGAACATTGATATTATGTGGGTACTATCCATTGAACCTGGATCTCGTCTTTTTTCTTCTAAATGGTATATTTTGTCTTAATATTTTCTTGTTCTGCGATAAATGCCTAAAACACTACAACATTTTTATGTGGGCCAACTGAAGCTAGACGGAACTCGCATATATAAGGACAAATTGTTTAGAAGCTGAGATTTAAACTATATTTTTTCAGATTGGTAACAGCTATTGGAGATGCGTATGGTGTTGCTCTTCTATTGCACATGTTAACTTCAACTGTTATGCTGACACTTCTGGCTTACCAAGCCACTAAAGTAAATTTTCCCTTTTTTAAAATCCATAGAGACTTTATGTTTGAATTTTACAATATTTTAGATCAATGGAGTCAATACGTATGCTGCGACTGTCATTGGTTACCTCGTCTACGCCTTAGCTCAAGTATTTCATTTTTGCATATTTGGTAATAGGCTTATTGAAGAGGTAAATATTGAATTTAGAACATTCTTCAAGGTGATTATTGTGTTATTTTATTTTATTTATTTAGAGCTCATCTGTAATGGAAGCAGCTTACAGTTGTCATTGGTACGATGGATCGGAAGAAGCAAAAACTTTTGTACAAATCGTTTGTCAGCAATGTCAGAAAGCTATGTCAATTTCGGGAGCAAAGTTCTTTACCATTTCATTGGATTTGTTTGCTTCGGTAAGTAGGTAATGGTGTGATTTAAAGATGATAAGATAAGTCAATTTATCTAACAAACCTGCTTCAAAGACGTATGAGCACTTCTTTGTTAAACACCCTATATATTTATCGTATGGTTTTAGGTACTTGGTGCAGTAGTGACCTATTTCATGGTGTTGGTGCAGCTCAAGTAATTTTTAAACCCACTACTGCTTCGTTCAGCTGTTTATTGTGGTAACAAGAAGTACCTGATAGTAAAAAAGAGGATCTATTGTTAAAATAACTGCAAACAAAAAAAATGTAATAAGTGATACATGTAAACGTTTACCTCTAAAAGTCAATGGATATTTGCATGAACGATAGTAGAGTTGTATTCGTAAAAACAGCGTACAAGTAGGTATTAGAATGTGATAACAACAGTTTAATACAACTAGTAAACTTCATCTCACATTCTAATAGAGTGATATTATCTAAGTCAAATTTAGGGGGCGTCGAGGAACAACTGTCGTTCCCTGGAAAATATTTAAGTACTCGATGGAAAGTTTTTTTTGAAATGTAGGTCAAAACACGGTTAGGAACCTATATTCCAATACATACCAGTACGCTTTTTTATGAATACAATAATATAAAGAGTGATCCACAAAAAATGTTTCTAAAGTGGTAAACAGTGATATTTGTGATAAAGATAAGCAACTCTGAATTAAATCCAAACTGAGAATTAAAAAATAGAAAAAGATTTGTTCTCTTTATACAGGGTGTATCTAAATAACACCGAAAAAATTAAAGGGGTGATTCTGTGATGAAAATTAATGTGAGTGTTAGGTATAAAATTTTTTGAAAAAACCCTCCCCGGAAAAGTTACACCCCTTCGAAAAGTAAAAAAAAATGGTTTTTCTTTTTTATTTTCCCTGTATATCAAGCTAAAGACACGAAACTTGGTAAACATTATCTGTCAATAAAAGTACACTTTTTGAAAGTTTTTCAACCCTGAAGTATGCTTAGAAGGGGTTGAAATAATCAACCCCTAAGATATTTTTTCTTACAACTTTTTTTAGATGAAAATTTTTTCTTTAAAAAAGTATGACGAAAAAGCCCAATTCATTGACTAACTTTTCTATCTCTACAAGTTTTTTTCGAAAAATTAAGCATTTATGAGAAAATAATAAATAAGCTCATGTAAAATAGCATTTTATTAAACAACAACCAAATTATGATTCTTAAGACTTCTACAACTAAAAACAAAAGTGAACAAACAATGAACAAAAATCTGTCGAATATCGACAATACAATTATAATAAATGTTGAAAATGACCGCCTTCAGCTTCAATACAAGCATCTACCCTTTTCCTCATAGAATTGCGTATACGGTGAAATATTCCTGGATAATTTCTTATAGTTTCACACCCTGCTACAATGCGGTTTCGCAGATCATCGATATTTTCAACTGGGTTTGTGTATATCAAAGATTTCAGATATCCCCAAATGCAAAAATCCAAAGGATTAAGGTCACCTCATCCAGGTGAGTTCTTGCACGTATACTAAAATGAGCTGGTGCACCATCGTGCATAAACCATAAATGTTGCCTAATTTGAATGGGAACCTCTTCAAGAAGAACAAGTAATTCTTCAAGGAGATGACAATATGCTTCACCATTTAATCGTAGCGGAAGAAAATGGGGACCAATTAAATGATTATCAATAATTCCGAGCCACACGTTTAATGAAAATTGATACTGATGATTTCCTTCAAAAAAGCCATGAGGATTTTCGTCAGCCCAAAGGTGATTGTTGTGAAAATTTCTAATACAGTCTCTTGAGAAACTCGCCTCGTCAGTAAATAAAATATTACCTAAGAATTGTGGTGCTTGGCCAATCATATTAATAAGCCACTGACAAAAAATCACACGGGGTAAAAAATCTCGAATCATTAACGCCTGCACCCGTTGAAGATGATAGGGATACATTTGTTCTTTTAAAATTCTAAAAATAACAGAATGGCTTACATGTAGGACACGAGCTATTCTCCTGGTACTAGTTTCTGGGAATTCTTCAATTGAATTAAATACGGCTTCTTCTACAGCTGCAGTTCTATCTTCTCTAGTACGACCAGAATCATAACTTCTTTTTTCAAAATTACCACGTTCCCGCAAGCGTCGGTGAATAGTTGTGAACGTAGTATGATGGGGTAGTCTACGCTGTGGGTACTGTTCAGCATAAAGTCTTTGCGGTTCCAATGAATTACCGTTAGCACGACCGTATGTAAAATGCATATCTGCCATTTCCAAATTCGAATATGCATTCATATTTTCAATCAACTAATATTTCCTACAATACTTGTGAAACAATAAGATGGGTAACAGAAAATGACACTACACAATCCTGGTATCAGTATTAATGTTTTTATGCAAAGCACAGGCCACTAGACTTGACGCAAAATACACTCGCGTTAGCTCATCTTTTTGAAAATGCATTGCATTAGATTTTTTTTCTAGTAAATGCTTAAGTTTTAGAAAAAACTTGTATAGTTAAAAAAGTTAGACAATGAATTGGGCTTTTCAGTCATACTTTTTTAAAGAAAAAATTTTCATCTAAAAAAAAGTTGTAAGAAAAAATATCTTAGGGGTTGATTATTTCAACCCCTTCTAAGCATACTTCAGGGTTGAAAAAAGTGTACTTTTATTGACAGATAATGTTTACCAAGTTTCGTGTCTTTAGCTTGATATACAGGGAAAATAAAAAAGAAAAACCATTATTTTTTTTAATTTTCGAAGGAGTGTAACTTTTCCTGGGAGGGTTTTTTCAAAAATTTTTATACCAAACACTCACATTAATTTTCGTCACAGAATCACAGAATCACCCCTTTAATTTTTTCGGTGTTATTTAGATACGTTAATTTTTCCTAAGGATATTCATTTTAAAACCATTATTGTGGGTCACTCCTTATTTTATGATGTTCATAGGTTCAGTTTCATTGCATCACTTCCATTTCTAGTCCAAAAAATATTGTGATGCAAAATACATACAAATATTATCATAGAATTTATATATACATCATAGACTAGTTTAGATTTCTTAACTTTTTAAGGCAACATTTTAGGTAATAATTATGGAAGTTTCTCTTTTAAGAACGTTTATTTTCAGCATATTTTAATTTTATTATTACGTAGGTAGTGTTAATTAAATTAAGAGAATTTGATAATATTAAAATACTTTTAACCAAAAATTTTAAAAAATATTTTTAAATTTTGGAATCTAAACGAGGAAAAATGTACAGGACTTAATACACAAAACTGAGACAGAAAGTAATTGCGCAAATTTGTCTCTTCTTTTCTATACTTAATTTTTAGTCTGAGAAACATAAAATTCGGTGCTAGATCCGGTGAGTACAGTGGATGTGCTTCGGAGAAATTAAGGCCCCAAACATTTGGCTTCAGCCAATTGAAAGCTACCAAATACAAACAAGTACCTCCAAACAAAAATTTCATTAGAAGAACCTGGTGCAGTGATGTAATTGATTTAGAGATTGACCAACAACTGCAATCAATTATTTAAATTTCTCATAATTATCAAAAGTAGTCGTCTGATGAATTACATAAGTTATTGGTACATGGATTTCATTGATTTTCTTTTTCTTGTAGTAATTGGGTGATCTATACGTTTATGAGACGTACTGGAACTTAGTTAACAGACGCGACTAACCCCTTCCCAATCGGAATTCCTCAACCAATCCCTTCATCGTAGTTCCAAGGTTCCATCATGACAGTTGTTTCGTATTTCACATTTCCTGCATCCAAACTACTATAATGCATTCACTTCTACCTGTACAAATGTTAGCACGGAACTGCCCTCAAATGGATGAAAAGACAATAACAGTTTAAGTGAACTTTTCGAAATCAATTCCCATTAGAATTTTTATTTTCCCATAGACGTTGACACACCTGTGGCAATTCGCAGTCTAACCTTTTTGGTAGAAGTATCTTGCTGCTATTATTAATAGTACAATGGTTCTGGTTGCACCAGTATCTACAAATAGTATATACTTTTTACCATTTCCTTCACAGTCAACGTATATATTGCGACATTTCAAAGAGGCTTTCAGTATAAGAGGGTATTTGGAATGGGTTTGGGTCAAAGCTGCTTCTCCTAGGCCAACCGCTCTACTTTTGCTATTGAGTATTTTCACGAACTGCACATCTGTTCGATGTCACCGCAATTCCAGCCATGGTCTTTTTGTCAGTAAGGCTTTTTATTATATTAACTAGTGGGTCAAATTAATTTGTTTCTTGTTCCTCTTAAGTGCATGGAGAGATATATAAAATAGAAATGTAAAACCATCAAGGTACGAACCTGAAAGATGTAGGCAGAAAACAAACAATCAAGTAAGCAGTAATGAAATTAGTGATGAAAATGGATCCAAGCACTGACAGTAGAATCCTTAAATGGTCTGACAATTTAAAGTTGCAGTGGTCGCTTAGCTTGAGTCCTGTAGTGATAAACAGTGGTGCGAAAGTATAATATACCCAATGAAACTTAGAAATCCAATTCATAATGATGGATAAAAAAAGGCCGAAACAAAATAATCTCATGTTTGTCTCCCTGAGTTTTTGAGTCACTGTATATACCGGGTACGCAAAATTTCATATAGAACCAATATTTAAACTCAATGACTTGTAGCCACGTGCTACCAAATCTTCAACGTATATACAGGATACGCAAAATGTCTTTTTAAATTTAATTTATTATATTTATTTTTACAAATTTTTGTTAATAAGGTGCATTCCAAGTTCTAGTCATTTCTTATTCAAATTATTGAATAATAAAAATCACTTTTACTTACTAAATGTACACGGTGTTCAGCAAGATATGTTTACAACTTGGAACTCATTATAATGCTGTTTTATGCGCAAAATTCTTAGTTCGTGTTGTACAGAAACCTGATATAAAAGCACGATTAGATTTTTTTTAATCTATTTTTAGATTATATATTTTAAAAGCGAGGGCATTCCTACGTGTCTTAATTTCTATATGGACCAAAGCGATAGTTTAAGATATTTTTAATTCACGTTGAGTTATGTCGTAGTTTTATCAAAAGGGGAATATTATAATAACGCTATTATATTGTCTAAAATTTTATTGTAAAATAATCACTTATAGAGCTAAACACTTAAATATTTTATATTAAAAAAATGTTAATAATTATTGTTAAAATTCAAATAAATTTAATTCTATATTTATTTATGTTTAATTATCTTATTTTTTTATACTACCTGGGATAAAATGGACATTTTTAGGATAATAAATATTTGATTTTTATATAGACGTTAGTTATTAAATTGGAAAGTACAGGCAGTGGTGTTCGTATGGGGCCTTTCACACCCACCCCGCCAATGTCAAACTGTAATAAATGCAACAAAGAAAATGCATAGTGATGCCGACAAATGTGAGAATTTCTCACATCTCGTCTCGCCTCGTCTCGTCTCGCCTCGTCTCGCCTCGCGCGAGGCGAGATGCACATTTTGGTCTCGCTAGATCCATGCGATGGCGAGGCGTGATTAAATCACTTCTCGCGCGAGTGTCTTGCACGAAAATCTTGCAAGTCTCGCAAATAAATGTTAAAAGTGTCGAAATATATGCTTTAATTTCTCTAATTTAATTTTTTAAATACTTACTTTCCTTGCATCTTTAAAAAAGTATAATATTTTTCGTAAATGTAAATAATGAGAAATAAACTGCTTATTTATTTTTTCATTTAAAACCGTCATTGAGTTTATATTTCAAAAAGTGTACCTTTTTATGTATATTTATAAAGTTCGTAACATAAGCAAACAATTATATTTATTGTAGAACGGATAAATAGCTGCCGGACTATATGGCTAGTAATCTTAACATGTTAAGTTTAAATGTCGAATAATTGTTTGTCAGGGGATGGAAATTTTATTGACAGGG